CAGGTGGGCGGCTGCGCGTGCGTCTCGTGAATGGCGAGCGCTGACTGCGGCTGAGACAATCTGTGCCGGCGGAACCCTAACCACCCACCGTCCTTTGTACGGCTTAAAGGGGACCTGTCACACCGAGCCGCTTTACTGTCATAGGTTAATGTTGTATTTTATGTATCATCATATAACAATGTTTCATTTTGTATTATAGAGAAGCGGAGAGATGTCTGCGCTCAAATCCAAGTAATACACACACACACACACACATATATAAAACGTAGGGAGTTGCTAGAGGGGTGCGAAAACTTAACACTCAATTAACCCTTCTCACCCCGCTATACAGCTTTACATGTTTCTAGTAAACTTTTTAATAAAAACAGATTCTTGGTTCACAAATATTGCAGTACATGTTCAAGCTGGCCGACTGTGTCAAAGTGATCCCTCTCTGGCCACCTGCGTCAAAGTGATCCCTCTCTGGCCGACTGTGTCAAAGTGATCCCTCTCTGGCCGACTGCGTCAATGTGATCCCTCTCTGGCCGACTGCGTCAGTGATCCCTCTCTGGCCGACTGCGTCAGTGATCCCTCTTTGGCCGACTGCGTCAGTGATCCCTCTCTGGCCGACTGCGTCAAAGGGGTCCCTCTGGCCGACTGCGTCAAAGGGATCCCTCTCTGGTCGACTGCGTCAAAGGGATCCCTCTCTGGCCGACTGCTTCAAAGGGATCCCTCTCTGGCCGACTGCTTCAAAGGGATCCCTCTCTGGCCGACTGCGTCAAAGTGATCCCTCTCTGGCCGACTGCGTCAAAGTGATCCCTCTCTACCAACTGGATAAATGTTCTCTCTCTGGCCGACTGTGTCAAAGTGATCCCTCTCTGGCCGACTGCGTCAAAGTGATCCCTCTCTGGCCGACTGCGTCAAAGTGACCCCCTTCTGACCAACTGCATCAAAGTGATCCCTCTCTGTCCATCTGCATCAGTGATCCTTCTCTGGCCGACTGCGTCAAAGGGATCCCTCTCTGGCCGACTGCGTCAAAGGGATCCCTCTCTGGCCGACTGCGTCAAAGGGATCCCTCTCTGGCCGACTGCGTCAAAGGGATCCCTCTCTGGCCGACTGCGACAAAGTGATCCCTCTCTGGCCGACTGCGTCAAAGGGATCCCTCTCTGGCCGACTGCGTCAAAGGGATCCCTCTCTGGCCGACT